ACCTCCTTCCCCACTTCCCTGTTATCTAAGCTTACTTTTAATAGATCAGTCAGCTTATTTTGAGTAATAGCCTTCTGCTGCAATTTAAAAACTCATACTTCAAGAAAAGTGAACCCAGAAAGGAAGTCTACGCTGATAAGAGTTGATATTTTCCATGTGTGCCAAATGTATATTTTTAAAAACACAATGAAGTACAGATTGATTCATATAGGGTTCAGAAGCCCTTTTACCCAACTTCCTCATTCTCTAATTACCAAAAAAATATATACATTCAACCAGAAAGCAACCAAAAATGAAATAAGATGGATTAGTTTGTGGAATAGGGACAAAACTTTGTATAAAAACCACATGCTAATAAAATATTTATTACAAGTACTGCTAATAATATGTTAAGCTACATTACGACCCCCCCCATCAAAGTCCATCATTCAAAAAACTCAAATTCACTTCTAACTGGTTTTTCTTTTTTCACTTTTTTTAGTTCCCTTAAGTGTAATCTCTAATGTTACAAGTGTTTTATGGCATGTTCTATCTTTGTACACCTCCTTCCTACACTTCCAAGATGACAGCACCTTTGGGATAATTTGTTATAGGCTACTTCTTGTCCTGGATACCCAACACGTAGGTGTTCACGTCTCACACACTTGTGCTCTCAAAAATAGTACGCAGCTATTTTTTACACCATCCTCCAAATATGCTTGATATTTATTGTACTCGCCTAGCACTAATTTACTTGTTTGTATTAGCTCTCAAAAAGTATTTGTTAACCTAGTGCCAGATGCCAAAATAATTGCTAGGATCAAATTATTTTAAGCAAACAGCAGCCACTGGGGGTGGGAAGAGGGAATAACATTTAAAGCAACTTGTTTACGGACATCTCTAGTGGAACCTAAGAAACGAGCTATTTTATATCTGTACACACACACACACACACACACACACACACACTGGAGTAACTACATCTGGGTTCTTACCAGGTATCGTTGTGACACACATCAATCTATCCTGAAAAGACTATTTCTTTGCAGCTCATATACTATGTAGATGCCATCTAACACCAGCATTTTTTTTTTGTAGATGTAAAACTGAACACATGATGTGAAAGTACTGTAAAGTTACACACATGCCAGTTGGAGAGAATCCAAAGGCATAAAGTTCAGCTGATTCCATTTCCCTAATTAGACACACAATTCATTAACACCTAAACACATTTTATTACCACATTTGTTTAATTTTATAAGGGAGAATAAGACAAAACAGTTGAATTTATAGTTTTGGGGGTTTTTTTCCACATAACTCAAGGCCATGCTTTTGCTTTGAATAAAACATCAAGATGCTGAATGAATCTGCTGTGGCTTTTAAATTCTCTCTGCATAGTCTGGCCTATTGGGGGTTATGTCTTTATGTAGACTTGAAAGTAAACTTGGTGCTTCAGCTCTCCAGACCAATGGAAATGAGAGGCATTCACAAGCAGCAATTGGCCAAATGAGAAAAAGTAATCCCAGAGGTAAGGAGAGGAATAAGTGGATATCTGCAACACCCTTAACTTTCTTCCACAACCCTACCCTCCTTCCTCCATCCTTAAACCCGTGGTTCTCAACTTTAGACTTGAGGCACTCCACTCCTCAGTAACTTTCATGAATTGAGTCACCATCTCAAAACCTAATATATTTATTACAGTGCCTACACCTCCTTGCAGAGGGGGCCAGCAGTGAGGGCAATACAATGGTTATGCAGGCATAAACCTGAGCCTGTACTTGTCTTCTCATACCTGCTTATCTCTTTACACACCTTGCATCAGCACCCTGGTTGAGAATTAGTCTTAAATAAAAACACAGAAACAGAACAGAAAAATAATACCACCACCCAAACAACACAGTCCCCTAACACAAATTCAAAATGCTCAATTAATTTGGCAGTCTCTGGTAAGCCCATAGATGGAATGGGAATGGATATTCAACTGCCCTGATGCCCAAGCCCCTTTAGGATAATGCTGAGGCAGAAAAAAAGAATGATACCGAGAACATTTCAGTCTTTCTACTTCCCACTTCTCTAGATCTGCATACCATATACTCCTCCTGTAATGGTGAAATACCAGTTCCTTTTGCTGAACAAAAGAGTTTAGTCTTTAGAACTAGCTTACTTTCCACTGTTCAAGCATCCTCTTTCTTATTTTGCTAAGTCTGCTGACTGTCCCAAGTCAGAGGTGCCATCTCCAACACCTCTGCAAATCAGTCTGGCTGATCTGACACATTGTTCAAGTAGCAGCAGCATCTAGAGGTGCACCGATACACCAGTCCGATATCAGATCAGTACTGATATAACGAAAATTGGCTACGCTGGAAATTGGCCCAATGCAGCCAATAATTTGGCCAATAAATGCCCAATTGGCCAATAAATGCTGTGTGTATGCAGCTACAGTGCAGCACATAGGCAGTGAGGAGCACAGCCTGGCAGCGTGGAGAGCTGCGTGCAGCTGGTAAGTCTGTTGTGGTGGAAGGGGAGGGGACAGATCAATGCCCCCCATGGTGAGGGAGGGAGGGGGCAGGGGCTGGTGCTGCCCAGTCAGGGTGGGGCAGGGCATGGGACTGAGCTGCAGCTCATTGGGTGGGGCAGCACCTGCTGCTACTTGCACCCCTGTGGTGGAGTGGGAGGGCTGGAGCTGTGGGCTGGAGCTGGGGCTGTGCTGGGCTCTTCTTGGTGGGGGCTGGGCTTGGGGCAGGTGGCAGTGGCACTCGGGGTTGGGCTATGGAGGGGGCTGCAGCCACCCCAAATTTTGCTGTATCCTCCTCCTAGCCCCCTCCCCAGTGCCGGCACCACATGCCCAGCTCAATGCCCTGCCTCCACCCATGCGCTGGAAAGAGCCACCGGTGCTAGGAGGGGGGGCTATGGGGAGGCTACGGTGAAATCCGAGGTGGCTGCAACCCCCTCCATAACACCCCTCCCAGCGCTGCTGCCACCCAAACCGAGCCCCCACCGAGAAGAGTCCAGTGCAGCCCCAGCTCCAGCCTGCCCGCCCCACTCCGTGCAGATCTGGGGGCACCCCCCCCCCCCAGGGCCCCCCCAGGGGGTACACAGTGGCAGAAGCTGCTCTCCCCACAGTGAAACGTGGCTCAGTCCCACGCCCTGCCCCACCCTAGCTGGGCAGCACCTGCCAGCGTCCCTCCCTCACTGCAGGGGGTATTGAGCTGTCCCCTCACGCCCTTTCCCTTCCACCCTAACAGGCTTACCAGCTGCACGCAGCTGTATCAGAAATCGGATTGGTATTGGCCAATATGCCTCTTTAAAAATCGGCTATTGGTATCAGCCCCCAAAATCTCTATCAGTGCACCCCTAGAACCATCATATCATCATCCTAAAGGGCTGCAGTCCCCGCACTCAGCATAACAGGAATGAAACAGAAGCCTGAACTCTGCATTACCCTGCTTTCATTGGCCTAAGTCTGACCTTTTACATAAGTTTAACATTTTTTTTGGTGGTTCATAATATTTGTATTTGTTAAGTGGTGGGGTGCTAAGGTGATGTAAAGGCATGATTCATTCCATACGTACTATGATCATCCAGCAAGTGAAACACAGCACTACAAGACATGGTTGCAAAGGAGGTTGAGAGAACTCAATCCCATTTTGTTCTTTCACAGGGACAAGGAGTGCTCACCCACTGTCAATACTTTCTACCCATGTATTAAAAAAAATACTGATACCACAAGAATATTAATTAAATAGCAAAAATTGAACACAGTAACAATGGGGCTTAAATATGGGATTCATCAAGTCCTAACATGCTATGTATGTGTGTGTAATGTGAAACGTACTTTTTATGTTATTACATAAAAACCATGAAATTAGATTTTCTATTTCCAGCATTTCTCATTAAATAGCGACACTTTTAAATATATTGATGGTTTATTTTAGAGTCTGGAAAAATATGCCATCAGTGAGTGACACTGAAGTAATGCTGTAGCATTTAAATTCTCATAGGACATCTTAGTACAGTGTCTGTCTGGGTAAATGAAGCATCTATCACTAACAGGAGTTAGGTGTACTACTGCTATTGGAACTAGCAGTAGACTGGAAGGTGGTGGGGGAGAAAGAGAAATGAAACGAGGACAAGTGGAGGAGAGAATTATAACAACATGAGCTTATCTAAGGGAAGGAGAAGAGGGACAGGGAGTGACAAAGGCACTGGAATGAGAAAAACAAAGGGAGAGATAAATAGGAAAGGCAAAATCTCCAGAGAAACAAGCCAGAACATAAATTCCCCAGCCAATCAAGAACAGGGCCACTTTCCTGATGTAGATGAGAAATGAAGCTTCAAACACTCTGAATACAGTTAAGTCATTACAGGCAGAACTGGCAGTGTCACCTATAGTTTTGACTGCCTGACATGTCTTATTAGGAACAGAACTGGAAAGGACCTTTTGAACCATCAAGTTCTGCTGCCTGCTATCACAAACAGTCACATCACATAATCTTTTCATAAACTGATCAAATTCCATTTTTAAAGCAGTTCACTTTTTAGCCTTGCTACTCTTATTAAAGGACTATTCCATATCTTCACTGCTCAGATGGTTAGAAACCTTCCTCTAATACCTAGCCATGGTCAATTTATACCCATACGCTCTTCTGCCAGCATTGCCCTTTAGTTTAAAATAGCTCTTTGCCCTCCCCAGTGCTTAGTCTAATGATGCAATTATACAGTGCTATCATATCACACTCTGCCAAGCTCTTCTAAATCCTTTCTTGTACGATAAGCTCATCATTCCCCTGATCATCTTAAGATGATCTTTCTCTCCATCTGATCCATATGAACCTATCTTTCTTGAACATGTGTGACTAATCAGATGGCACAGAGTAATAGGTCTATCTTTAATTTTTGTCATTGTATTAAACCTAACAAGCATCTGCTTTTAAATGTTTGCTATACAGTCTTGTATTAACTGCTCTGTTCTGCACCTGAAAATACTTCAGCTCCTATGTTTTTTCTTTAAATCACCTTACCTCCAAATTATAAAGAAATCTGAAGTTGTTTTTCTGATTCGCAGCTTTTCTCACAGCCTGAGCTAATTCCACTGCTCCTTTACCACCAGCTGACCAATGTTTGCAGGGCACTGCATCAAATGCTCCAGAATGCTTTGCAATCTCACAGACTAAATCAATCTCAGCATGGGAATCAGTTCTGCCAATGAAACAATTTTATTTAATCATTTTATTCATTGCTTCCCACCTTACACACTTCTTTATTTAGCTGCTTTATACAGTTAATTATGAAATGAGTTAATTACAGAAATTATGCAAATCATTTCTACAAACCCCAGTTTAAAGTGCTAATATGATGGATTTAAATGAGTAATAAAAATCACATGCAATACCATTAGGCAGAATTAAGAAATTTGAAAAAACTTTTGCAGGAAACAGGTTTTTCAAACCTTTATAGCTGTAAGGAGGAATGAGAAGTTAAATGAATCCCACCCCCTGCCATGAGATAATATTTCTAGAAATCCATAGCCAAATTCTCCCTCTGTCTTTTAAGAACTCTCTCCATGCCATTGTTGCTTGATTTTTAAAACAAGTAAGAAGTCAGGTGAGTGATAAAAATGTAGTGCTGTAGATTCCAAATTTTATAATATAACAATATTTTAAGGAGTAAACAGGAAATGTTTAATTGGGTCACACTGAGTAGAATGTTTATAACTTAAATGATAAAGTAAAGCAAAGCAAAATTGATTAAGCTTTCTGGATCTTCACTTGCTCCCCCATTTAATAGATATGAATAGGAGATGAAGTAGTAAACCTCAGGGTACTGTGTTTACATCTACTGCTAAAGCCATAAACCTGAGTAAAATCTACTCAAATAAGTAAAGGACGGACTGACTTACTTGAAGACATTTAGAGCAACCACAACAGGAACTCCAAAGAGCTGAGCAATTTGAATTTGCTTCTGTAGATTACAGCAGCCATCAGCTACCAGCTGGAGATTCTGGATAATTAAACAAAAACATAATGACAAGATGAATTAAATCTTGTCTAGCCAAAGAAGTTCCCAGAAATTAAATCAAACACAACTTGGATATTATTTTTGATAGTTACAGATAACCTTTCAAATAGGCTTCATACAGAATGCCTTCACTTCTATAATTCTTATTCTAATGGGGACAACCACATCATATAACTAAGCAGGGTACAGAACTTCTAAGTTTGAGAAGATTGCTCATTTTACTATTGCCAGACTGCTCATTTCTGGGACAAAAGCAAGACAGTTCTGCTGCTGACTGGCTGCTAGTCAATAAATAAGATGCCAGAACTGTCTAGGGGCTGGTTGACACAAGACACTGGCAATGGTGTGGACTGTTGTCAGTTTTCCCCTACTCTAACCCGTGGCTCCATCTAAAGGAATTACATGGTAATACAGCTCAAAGACATGGATGCTGCAGCTTTACAGCAGAGGATTGATATTGGCTCATATTTTTCCTCTCTGGATGCTCTATTCACCAGGTCCCTGAAGGACCAATCTGGAGCTGGACTAGCCATTTCTTTCCTTTCCCAGTCTCAAAAGCAGGAAGAATTTATTTCAATCAAAGTCCTGTGAGCAATACCACTGAACCTGTAAGACAACATTAAATTGAGCATTTTACTAAGCTATAAATCCTCATATATTAAAAGCTTCCCAATCTGATGGCCGACTCCAGCTCCCACTGAAGTGAACAGAAAATTTCTAGTGATGACAATGGAAGGGGAATCAAGTAATGTAGTTTACAGGACTTACACACTTTGGAAACTTCAGAACAACAGGCCAGCCTTCCAAACAATGTATCTGCTCATTCACATATATATAAACAAATATTTCCACTAGTAAATACACATGCAGTCCAGGGGACTTGCTTGCATTTTTCAGTGCATCTCAGAGCCTTTAGGCTTTGTCAAGGCCATATACTGATTTCCCATGGAAAATGCAGCAGACTAGGAATTTTCCCACTGTGTTTTGCAAGTTAGTTTAGCCATAAACCATTCATTTTTAAAGCTTCTGCAACTATATTACTTTAAGATTTACTGATGAAAAGCACTATTAAGAACTAAGCATTATTACATGAGACATGCTCTACCATAACGATTTCTTGTTAACAAGGGGAAAAAATACCTGTTTTAGAACACATGTTTAAAAACCAGATATATCATGTTCTGCTTGAAAAATGCATTAAACCTTACACTGAGACTAAGGCTTATTTTCTTGACACCTAAGACTGGACAGAACACTTGATTTTTTATGAATTAAAAAACCTCCAAATGTTTCAGTTCTTCTGATCATTCACTTATGATGCTTGAACTTAGTGGCTCCTTGCATTTCTTGTGAACAGTTAATATAGACAATGCTATTCTTGGTACACTGGTTCTATGTTTACAGTTACTTAAATACAGCACTACTACTTTCTGACAAATATATTTTCACTTTACTTTGAAATGTCAAGGTAAATGGAGACAGAAGGTGTTCCATAACTTCAACTATTTAAATCCTCAAGTAGGTGTGTTGAACTCATTTGGCCCTATAGGCGTGCAGTGGCCACTTGAGGACATGCCTCTAGATCAGTCATAGAGCCAAAGCATACTGGAGCAGGCACTGTGTGCAGGTGCTTGGGGCGATTAAGCCAAGACCCATAGGCAGCACCAGGGGCCAGATGACAAGGCTCCATGGGATAGATTTGACCTGTGAGTGATAGCTTTGACAACCCTGTCCTAAAGGATCTCAGAATTTGGAACTAACTTCTGCTCTCAAAACACAAATAAAATACTTTCAGAAAAAATACCTTTTAAATGTATCTTTTAAATATACCAGAATTGTAACAACTGTTCTTAGCAATTGCATTAAAGCAGAGGTGCTTAAATCCTGGTCCATGGAGCAAATCTGGCCCCAAGCACCGTGTCATTTGGCCTGAGAGGATTCCTATGGATTCAGGGGGAGCCCCATAAGCTACAGGCCTGAATGCTAAATTGGGTGTATGCAGAGCCCAGTACTGGCATGCAAGGCCTGGCAGGAGCAGTGCAGAGCCCAACCCCGCCTGCAGACTGGCCCCATGACATTCATCTGGTTGGTGGGGCAAGAACTTGAGCACCACTGTTTTAAAGGATGAAGTGAACATTGACTCAGAGATGTCAACAGATAAGAGTCATCAGTAACTCTTCCTTCATACAGCAATGATACAAGTAGACTCCTTCAAGGACCATTTTGGTTAGACCATGAATCGATACAATATTCCAAGATCTATTTTCAGTTCCTGAAACTCAGGAAGTTAACAATCTCTCCAACATTTCCACTGTAGTTAGCAATTAGTGTGAAGTGTTTTGCTTTAAGTGAAAAAGTGCAATTGTTTTCCTTTAAGTGAAAAAGTTAGTTTTTAACCTGAAACAAAAAAATTGTGCATTTCAGGTTAGTTAACATTTAATTAAAATGCAATTGGGTTCCTTTCTAAGCAGCTAACACTTAAACTACCTCAAATAGAACAAAAAAACTACTTCAAACTACGTTGGGACAGATGCTCTACTAAACTAACTAGGATGGAATAATACTCAATGTTATTACATGACCTTTGTAATAGGATACTAACACTGTTTTCTTATTGTGATGTTACATCCAACCCACACATTCCAGTAAATAGAAACCTTTTCCCCTTGATGTGTATAATTTTGGAATTTATTTTTATTTATACTAAAAAGTCTCAGTTTAGGAGCACTTGTTGTATCTATTGTAGGTGTTTCTGAATTTGGGACCTGTCCAATCTCCTCTTATTTTAGAGCTGGCAAAAGTACTGGCAATTACATGACTTTTTTTTTTTTTTAAAGGGTAGATTGTGTTTTATATTAACTGCTCTTACCTCTTCTGTGTATTCTTTCTTCAGAGGGGCACCAGCAGTTACCTGAAATCATTAACAGGTAAAATTAACATTGATCTAACAACAGTTGATGCTACTTTAACAGTCAGGAGATGACAACTTTACTTTGCTTATTGTATACCCATGGTCAAAGACCAATACATGATGATAGACTTACTTTCAGAGCAAGTTATAGCTGTGCAAAAAGAATGGCCATGTATAGGTGTTATGCTGCGACCAGAGGAATCCCTGTTCTCCCAGTAGAAACTAGTAGTGTACAAGCCATTTCTCCTAGGGGAAATATGCCCCATACCCCAACAGAAAGATCTTCCAGGTTGACACCGGGATTATTTCCTTTGCAAGAACGAATGCCTCTATGTTCTTCTCCCAGTCTAGTTCAAAAGGGGAGGGGTGCAGGGAAAGCAATGCTCCTTACCACTTTGCTTACTTTGGGAAATGACCTGGGGGCTTACTCTCCTCCCCTTCTAGACTGATCTGTGAGGGGAGGGGAGGAGAGGAGAGATGAGCAGCCTGGTCTGGTCTGGGTTTTTTTCCCTGTTGCTCCCTCTGCTCAGCTCCCAGAAACCAGAACAAAAACAGAGGTGGTGGTGGCCCTGCCATTCCCTAATCTGGGGTTCCCCAGTGTGGGGAAGGTGAGA